TTGGGAGCAAGGAGGTATCTTCTCCAACCCCAAGTCTTCTTCTATTTCTACCATATATCTTCTTCTCTCCTTTATGGATTAGTCCTCCAAGGTACTAGGGGTTCTAAACCCAAACCCTAGTTTTAGGGTTTACTATGTATGTATCGATATTTTAGGGTTTGAATGAATGAATGTGTTTGTCTAGTTGATTTTAATGCCACTCTTTCCTAAATGATGACGCTTGGGTAAGTCGCCATAATCTTCCCTCTTAGCCTACTTTATGCTACCGCGCTGGGTATGGAGTTCTAGGGTTAGACGGGTATGCGCCATCTGGCGAGTTTAGGTTAGATGTGTGAATGGGGCCCTATAGTGGTCGAGGCGACCGAACCCCTGCTATAGGTAGCCTTCCTAGATGAAACCCAGGATGAAACCTCGGTGTGGACGGTGGATAGTGTACATTGAAATGAGCCATAAGCTTAATGCCCTAGATACGATAGCGTAGATCGAGGTGATTGGAACATGGGTTTAGGGGAGGCATACTCGAAGACGTGTCTATAACCACGAAAGCCCAGGGAAAAGAGCTCACTCACCACATTCGATGAACCTAAGTATATAGATATACATAGTAACCCTAAGATAGGGGGAGGGATAGTTCCCCGAAGTACCTGCTTTTAACTTTGATCAATCTCTCGACTAGTGTTTCCTCATATCCTCCACTCAAAACCTAAAAAACCGATTAACTAATTAGCAACTAGGTGGGAAGTAGACTAGGGTACAAGACCCGAGTAGAATATGACCTTGATTACCACTATACGACAGTGCCATTCTAGGTTAAACTTGGTCTAGGATGGGATAGTTGTTGATACGTGCTAACCTATAACAATAAACTGCACAAATTCAAGTGATCAATTATCCCATAATATCTTCTTCCTCAAGTGATCAATTATCCAATAATATCTTCTTCCTCTTTTAGTATCGGCGAACAACAATATAAGCCTCAACCATCTCAAAATCCCACATAGCTCCTTAGTAGTCAATTTCATTTCCCTTCCATCCGCAAGGTCATGTCAGTCAACTACATCTCATACAAAGAATAAGCAAAAAGATTAGACAAACATGTATTTGGATTGAGACTTTGTGTGATTAACATAGACCAATTTCCTCATTTGTATATACACCTGAAATCGAATTGGAGAAGAAGAGTAAAAAATATTGAGAATGGAATATGATATGCAATGAAAAGAAGGAAAGAAAAAACTAAGAAAATAAAATGGAAAAAGATTAAAAGAAAGAAGGTAGAGATTTTGAATTAATGCCTCATTTCCAAAGGAGAAAAAGTATAAAAAAATGAAACTCAATCCCACTAAATAAGTTATATTCGTCACTGTATCTAAATTAATCATAGAAATTTCATAAAATCTAAGCATAATACATGTGGAACCAATAAAAATTTTCATATACCTTGGTAAAAAGGCTAAAACCAGGTTAATCGAATTCAACCATTAATCCTTAACCCACTTGCTTAAACGAGTAATTGGTGGGAATCGAGTGACAACCTTGATTATAGCAAATTTAACTAAACAAATTCGTTGTATATTTATTACATGATTATATATATAATACATCAATTAAGATATAGATATAATATACTCTATTACATATATATTAAGAACTCCTTATTCACTACTGACCTTAAATGCATGTAATTTCATTTTCCAATCATATTTTACTCAAATATATTTATATAACCGTGAATGACTCCCTAAATTTCTCTTAGTTTTCAATGAAAGATGAGATGTATTTCTGAGCTGAAATATATTTCCATATCACTAAAACTACAAGCATTGTGGGGGGAGTTTTGGCATTTGGGCTGAAAATAAATGGAAATCTTTTGTGGGGAGTTTTGGCGTTTGGCAGTTTGGGTAATGGAGCCAAAATTTTGGGAGTTTGGGGGGAATTCTAAATTTTAGGAGGGAAAGTAGTGTACTGATATTTTATTTGGGTGTTCAGATTTTTTTAATTATCTTAAATTAGTGAACTTGTTAGTGTATTTTTTGAGGTGGGACTGTGGGAGCATTTGCTATACGGCATAAAATTTTGATTTGCATAATTCAGTAAAATATGGTCGTATGATTGTGTATTACTCTAAGCAGTGAACCGTTATAAATTAAACTATCAAATTTAAGAAAATAATTGTGACTTCAAGTGAACATATGTTAATAAAAAACTTGAAACATCAAATCATCAATACCAAATACCCTAAACCAAATATCCTAACCATATACTATGTACCCTAAACAATGAACCGTCAAAGATTATTTATCAAATTTAGTAAAATCGTTGTGACTTCAAATCATAGCTCTACTTTGTAACATATACCCTGATAACCCTTACCCTAACCAATCAATACATTATACCCTAAACCATATACCCTATACCTTGAACCGTCAAAGATTGTCTATCAAGTATAGTAAAATCGTTATGACTTCAATCATAGCTCTACTCTATAACATATACCCTATACTATACACTGAAGCTGTTGTGACAACTCGTAATTTGATACGAGGATACTTTACTGGTCAAAGTGAAACATTAAACTTGTATTCTTTTAAATGATTGAGTTATTGCAATCGTATAACTTAGCAGACCAAGTTTAACCCTCATTTTGAAATAAAAATTCAACTCGAACACAAGTTAAATGTGTCAAAGTTTTACTCTGTTGTAAAGTAACGATAATGTATTGCTGAAGTTTTAACCAAAAAAAAAAATGTATTGCTGAAGTTGTAATAAATGTAGAAGCATAGAAAACAAGTAGACAAATTAAGTGATTTTTTCTAAAACAAATGGTTGTCGTAACTAATGTTTAATTTAGTTATTAAATCATTAACAATTACATATGGTTGCCTTCAAATTATATAACTCCATATCCTAAACATAGTCAAACTAATTATTTCATATAGTAAGATAAGCACTTTGTTTATAAGAAGTTCCTAAATTAGTTCATATAATGGGCGTTAGGTTATGTGTACTATAACATAAACGATTGGTTTGTTATGATAAGATGACTCATGCCCGGTTCTCCTATAGACAATGTCTTAGCTACTAAATGCTAAACTCTTAATTCATGATATGTTCCCAAATCTACTATATCCAATTAGTCATATGTCCTTATAAGATTATAATAATGTTTACTACAAACAATGTCTTACTCATTAAATGTTAAACTCCTAAATGATCATAATTCATACGTAAACATTGTGATAATTAAATGGGTTATAGGAATAATATGCCCCTCTATTATGACGTTTTATCAAAAATGCCCTTATACTATTGTTTACATCAAACATGCTCCTGTACTTTGTAAAAATGATCAAACATGCCCTTTTGTTTAAATTTTCATCCAAAAACCGTTAACCAAGGTCGAACTTTGGTTTGGGCGGCACAAATGTCTAAAATATCCCTAATAATTTCACTTTAGAATTTTTTTTATTCTTTTTTATAGTCAAATCATTCAAATAATTTCACTTTGAAGAGAACCAGAGAAATAAAACGGGAGAAAAAACTGACATTTTCGCTCCCATTTGCCGATGTCGGGTCGTCTAAATCTCGGTTCAACCATGATTGACGATTTTATCAATGGAAATCTTAACAGAAGGGCATGTTTGATATTTTTTTCAAAGTACAGGGGCATGTTTGATGTAAAAAATAGTAGAGGGGCATGTTTGATAAAACGTCATAGTAGAGGGGCATATTATACCTATAACCCTAATTAAATTGATAAGTAATTAAGTATATGATTTATAAGGTAAAATAACATGAATTTTAGATAATTCGAGTGATATTATATTGAACTCATTATAGGTTTTCTAATGTAATATAGTCAAATAATCATTCCATATAAAAGTATAATATAGTTAATTAGTCATGCCCTCCATATAAAAATTAAATATTCATATTTGAAAGGTTAAAATTTTGAAAAACCAAAAAGTTGAAAACACCAAATTGTTTTCTTCTTTTTTTTTCAAAAGGAAAAAAAAAACTAAAATTCTCCTCCTTACATAAATTAGAAACACTCAATTGTACCTCTCATTTCATAATCAAAAGAACCAAACTTTTCCACTTTTTTCTCTTCTCGCAAATCAAAACCACCAAACTCCCCCCTTATTTCTTTTCTCAAAATTCCAAAGCACCAAATTTTCGTCTTCTTTCTCTTAAAAAGAGTTGAAAATACCAAAATTTCACTCTTCTTTTAAAATCATCAAATTAGCAAATAAATTACTTTACTATATTTATATTTAATGGATAACTTTGTTGAATAGTTAAATTAACCAAAATTTTAATTTATATATATTATATTAATATTGTCCATGATATCAATTATTATCTTCAATATGTGCTGATTTTATATATACTTTTTTAATTTTTTTAAAGAACTTAGTGTTCAAGTGAGTTTCATATTTTAATTTTTATAATTTTATTAAAATACATAATATCAAGTGAGCTTCATGTTTTTAAATTCCCTATACAAATTGAAAAAATAATGTTTATCTAAGTTTAGTATGAAAAACTTCATTTTGAAAAACCATGTATTATACAATATAATAATTATTTAAGTAGATTGGGTGGAGTTCGGGTTAGTCGGTCGGGTCACGAGTTAGTCTGATTCGAGTCAATCAAGTTCGGGTTAATCGGGTTGTGGGTCAATCGGGTTGCGGGTTAGTCGGGTTGCGGGTTAGTCGGGTTGCGGGTTAATCGGGTTGCGAGTTGAGCAGGTTACGAGTTGTTGATTTTTAGTCAATTCGGGTTGTGGACGGGTTGCGGGTCGGATTGATCTGGCGGGTTAGTCGGGTCAGGTTATGTTTTGACACCTCTATCTCTGAGTAAGAAGGGAACGGAAAAGAAAAGATTGTAGGCTCTATAAGCGAATCGACTGAAAGATAAGGGACCTTGACGTAGTTTTCCTAGAATCAGGGCCGGTTTTGGTTTTTATTAATTGTGGTCCAGACGCTCATTCGGCGAAAGAATTAACCCGGTTAGGTCTTTCTGAACCGCGTCTTCTTACAAAGAGCCACAAGCCCGATTTCGTCTTTCGCCGCCGCCACCAACAACCTCTCTCCTTCTCCAATCTTGAAAGTCAATTCTCCGATCTCCTCCTTGATTCTTCATCCAATCCTTCAAATCGTTGCCCGATTCGTTCAATTCGCTTCGTTCTCTCTCGATCGACCCCTTTTTCCCCTCCTGCCGTTGAGTTTTGAGAAACATAGGGTTAGGGTTCCAGATCTGCCATATTCGACGCCTCTATTCCACCGATCCTTCATAGTTTTGCCTTTGATTCGTCTTATTGTTTGATTTCCCCTACCGATTTCCCTCCAATTTTGCGGATAAACGTGTTCCGGTCGCGTCCTTGGGGTTTCGATTTTTTTCGGTAGTTTCGATCTGCGTCGTCTCGTTCGATTCTTCGAATAGGTTGAGGGGTTTTGTTCCCTGGGCTATTACTTTGACGAAAAATCCCTTTTTGATACGTCAATTCGTTGTTTGATCGGTGAATTCGAAATCTAGGGTTAGGTTTTTTTTTTGAAAAAAATTCGAGGGCTCTGTTTGCCTAAATTGGTTTGGGGGTTTCGTCAATTGGCCTCTGTTGATTGTTTCAAGTCATTAATTCGGTGCTCTGACGGCTAAATTCTGCTCCAATTGTCCAATTTCGTCCGGAGGCTTGAACGTGAAGAACACTTAAGGTAACTTGTTTTAAATTGGGATTAATTACCTTTAAAATTTGTATGGGTCACTGGATGACCAAATTGATGAGTTCTCTTCGTTCAATTGGAGTGTGTTATCATGAAGCTGGTAGTTCCGGTACTCTAGCTTTGTGGGAGTGTTTTGATCTTTGACAAGTTAATGATGATTGCCAATTTTTGCATTAAACGCTGCACCACTGCTGTGTGCGTTACTTCTATTGTTCAGCGACACTGCTAGCTTGGTCTTGAATTGATACTCTAATGTCTTGCATGCTTTGCAGGTTGATATGGGATATAAAAGGCTATTTGATGATACTGATTTTCAAGAGCTTCCCTCAAAGCAAGCAAGACAGCTGGACTTCAGCACTAGATCGACTCAGTTTGCAGAAAACCTGCCTTACATGAGTTCTCCTAAGAAACCTGATTCTTCAGGTATATGGATATGCGTTTTCAGATAATTCATATTGGGCTGTAAACCGCAACTATGACAGATTCTCGCCACTGTTATGTTTGTTAGTATTTGAACTAGTACAGTCATTGATTTCAATTTTACATCTTGGAGCAGTTAACCAGGACAATAGGAATGGAAAACCTCTGCGGCATGAGGCATCTGAAAATGCTGTTGTGCCCAAGAATTGCACCGATGAGGATGTCAGCTTCAAAGTTGCAGCTTGCTCTTCCTTATCTCCTCAATATCCCGATTATAGGGGCCTATGGGAATTTATCCCATTCAGCAATCTCTACATTCCTTACTTTGACCGCTTCCCAAGAAAGCAAGTTCCTCTAGGACAAAACCATCAAGCCATCATCCCTCCACTGTGTTCCAATGTGGAGAAGCACAAGAAAGGGGCTGAAGGATTATCTGAGCCAGATGCTTTGTTAATGTCAAGCGACGACGAGAAGAAGCTAATGGGCACTTGCATCCTTCCGATGCCTGATACTGAATGTTTCTCTCCTGACCAGGTTGGAGTTAGTGGATCTAATTGTTGCTGCCTAGATTCAGGGTCACTGAGATGCGTGCAACAACATGTATCAGAGTCTCGGGATAAGCTGAAAAAATCTTTGGGTCATGAGAATTTCTCGAGCTTAGGGTTTAATAACATGGGAGAAGAGGTAGCATGGAAATGGACCGAGGATGAAGAACGTTTGTTCCGTGCTGTTATCTATTCCAACCCTGCATCCTCTGGTCAGAACTTCTGGAACCACCTCACACAAGTATTTCCTGCTCGGTCCATGGACGAAATTGTAAGCTATTACTTCAACGTCTTCATGCTTCGAAAGCGGGCGTCTCAGAACAGATCCGAAGTCCTCGACGTCGATAGTGATGATGATGAATTGCATGGGATTGATGTAGGCTCGTATGAAGGTGAAGAAGACTCGGAAGAAGAAGAGGAAGGTTCCGGTGTCGAATCTCCCGTTGAGGATTATAGTCGTCAATTGAACCGCGGTGAGGATATTGTTACTGAAGATGACGACGATGATGATGACGACGACGATGATGGTGATGGAAGCAGCCACATGGGGAATTGTTGTTATGGAGATTTTACAGGAGATGAAAACTCAGGAGGGGTTGATTACGTCTCAGAGGGAGCACCATGTGGTAATAAGTCGTTTTCTGGTAACATGTACGATTCTGTGTTCAAACATGCACCAGAGAAGCATGATGATGACCAGACTGCTATCCAAGATGACTCATGCACGTCTTTTGAGTTCCAAGCAGATAAGGATGATCCTTGTTACCACCTGACAGGGGAGGGGGAGGCTGCTGCTCTTCATGGGAGTGGAGTTGATAATGTTTATGCCAAGAGTTGCTCAAGTGGTGGTCAATTGGATGCTTGCAGCTACATGATGGATGTGGTGCCCATACTGGATTTTCATAACGATGAAGTTTTGTACAGACTCTACTCCAGTCCGGAAAAACGGCCCGCAGAAGATGTAGCCGGAGACTATATGGTTCAAGATTACTCATGCATGCCTTCGGAACCCGTCGGAGTTGCAGTAGAAGATGGTGGAACTGAGAATGGAGTAGTCTCTGGCAAAGTAGATAGCGGGTGCAGTGATGCGATGGATCTGATTCCCATGTTGGATTTTCGCGATGAGAAAGCATGGGATGCTATTTTCCCGGGCTCTGTATAGGGGGGTCTGGTTCCTGCAGCATCATTGAAGGGTGAAAAGATGTGAAATAACCAGGAAGACTGAGCAATTGGCAACTGCTTTTCTCGGAAAGATCAGTAGCACATTCATCCGTTGTTGCACTAAAGCTCAGTGCAGCTTGTGAGATGGCCGAAGTGGCCAGGAGGAAGAAAACAGCAGGAAAATTTGTTCTTTTCTTTTTGGCTCTCGATGTACATTCTTAATGTGGCATGGCAGTGCCACCGGCCTTTTCCCCTGTCCCATTTTTCTTGGGTATCAAGTGAAATACCCAAATTCTGGATCAATAGATAGATATGGGGAAAGAGAGGTACTGGAAGAGCCAATTGACATGTAAATAATATATCTATTCAGATAAACTGATTTGACTGCTCCTTGAGAAGGGCTCCCCCATATCAGAAATGGTGCTCTGTTTTAGATACTTTGTAACAGAATGTTACCTAAACGAACTTAGAATTAGGTGGCAAAGCTTTTTTTCTTCTCGAAAGCTACTAGCAAGCATCCCCTGCTAGGGATGACGTGGGGTCGGGTTTTCTCAAACCCAAATCCATGAGTTTATTCGTGAAAAAATCCGGGGGTAAAACTCATTGGGTTTGAAAAATTCAAACCCAACCCAACCCGTTGGGTATTCGTGGGTTCATGGGTACCCAAGGGTTTTTGTCGTAAAAAATTTACAATAACAAAGTTCCTATCAAAATTAAAGTTAAATATCAATCTCTCAATACAAATTATCCATATATAAAACACCATTCTAGAAAATTCAAGCAAATCACAAATTAACTATACAAATTGTTCAACACCAATCTAGAAAGCTCAATAAAATTGAAGCAAATCACAAATTATCCATAAATAACATGATTAATTGAAAGCTTCTTCCTTTCAATTAAGTTTATTCACTCTCCAGTCTCCACTCGATGACATCAACTTCATTCTATACAATTAGAAAGAAAAAATTAGACATGTCTCCACAAACATAAATAAGAGTAGTTGTTTAGAATATTAGATATACCGGAAAAATTAACTATATGGGTGGAGCGGGTACCCATGGGTCGGGTTTACCTAAACCCAAACCCAACCCAACCCAGTGAATAGTGAACGGGTTTAAACCCAAACCCGGCCCAAAACCCGTCAACACGGATTTTACCCGCGTTGACCGGGTTGGGTCGGGTGGGTACCCGTGGGTTTGGGTTTTGTTGCCATCCCTAGCCCCCTACCATGGCCGGAGGAGGTGAGTTATGAAATTTGAGAATGTAATTGGGTGTATAGATAATTATTGTATAGTTTTTTTTGGAAACACGTGATAAAGATAGTGAATTTTAGCAAAAAAAAGCATGAATGATGCGATAAAAAATCAGTCTTATGAACCAAGTTCGAGTACCATTTACCTTGTGAAACAGTATTATTTCTGATAATATGAGGAGGTGGAGTAAGTTGATAGAAACCAAATTCTAGAAAACCGAATAAAAAATCGCCTATCCCTCCAGTCTTCGAGAAATGAGAATCTCATAATCGTTGCTAGCTTTTACTCGCCCGTTGGCTGATTAATTTTCTTTATAAAACTTTCATCTTGTCATCAAAGTTATTAATTCGAATGGAACAATCCATTCATCAACTAACGGAAAGGGTTAAATGGCTAACCTACGATCCAACCCGATTGCCTAGTTTTTCTGATTAGAAACATATATTATGCTATTATTTTATATCCTAGTGGCTAAAATATAATGTATTTTCAATTTATTAAATGGTTAAACCTCGACCAACCCGATTAGTCCAATTTTTATCATTTCAAATATATATTATGTAATTATTTGATATCATAATGATTAAATTATAGTGTATTTTATAGGGAAGCGTTTGGTATTTGTTAGTAAAAAAACTAAACAGAAAGATGCATTTGGTTATTTTTAACATTAAAACAATCCTAAATATTTTTAGTTTCCTTTCGTCATTCTATGGTTTTGATCCTGAAGTAGTGATGTGTAAATGGTGAATTGCAGTCTTCTTTTTTCTTTCACTATTTTTTATTTTCAAATAGAAAGTTTGAAGTAAAAAATAATTGGAGTTTGGCATAGGATCGGTCAAACAAGGTGAATTTAAAGTTTTGGCACGTTTTGATCAAGCCTAATTTATAATCACATGGTTCCCTGACACCCGATAAAAATCTTAATCCAAACCAGTTCGGCAGCTCAGTCCGTGTCACCATTTTCTAGGAATACATAAACGACGGTTCCTGTCCTAAATTGTGTTGTTCGTTCTTGATTTATTTAGATTTTATCATGGCATGACAAAAACCAGAAAACACAATGAATGCGCCGAACCCATAATCATCGGGAAGGAGGGTGGAAATCGCAAACACAACGGATGGATCTCCCGACCCAATCTCCTTCACGCTTCCCCGACCAGATCTTCTCGTCGGCGGGAGAGAAGCAAAGACAGAGGGTATGGAAACAGCTTCCGATCGAGCTAAGAAGTGGAGGAATCGTCACCAGAACGGGAAGAAGCACGGACTTCACATGAAATTGACCGCGAAGAACCGAAATCGGTGTAGAAGGTTGGTACAGGCGGTGGGTTTGTTTTAAATCACTCATCGATCCGCAGCTGGCTTGCAGATGAGAAGGGTAGATGCGGCGGGAGAGTGGGCGATCAGTCCGACCTTAGGTAACCAGTTTGTGGAGCGAGAGCAGGAGTGGGAGCGAGAACGCGAGAGTGTCTATTTCAGAAGAACTTAAAGTTGAGAGCATGATGAGAGCATCATTATTACATTATATAATTATTTTATATTAATATAATTGACAATTAGTATATAAAATATCATCTATTTTGTTTATATTAATAATATATAAAAAGTATTAATGGATAAAAGATTAATAATATTAAAAAGGGTATATTTTCACAATATTGCATTTAGATTGTATTAATCCTTCCTTTCATTTTTTCCGTCATAAAATTTAACAATTTGAAATTCGAGTAAAAATTAAATTAAAGTCCAAGATTATTGCCAAAAAAAAGTCCAAGATTATTAGTAAATGGTATTTGAGCTTTCCATCCCCAGTACTTCTACAAGTCTATTGTTACGTTGATGTAAAAACAGAAAGGACAATAATATCCAGCAACCAGAAGCATCGAGAAGGTCGATGATTCTCCTCAATTCAAAGGTGTCGGCTGTTCCTGTTCGACGTCGACTGGTCGTCATATCTCTCCGTTGTCCGAACTCCTTGTTTCCTCCAGAACGAAGTATCTCTATAATCTCAGAGCCCTATCCCACTACTTGTTGGTAGTTCTTTCATTTTTGACCGACCTCAATTAATCAGCAATCTCTTTCATCCATTTAGAGTCGATGGTCGCAGTGTTCTCGCCTCTCGTTGAGTCTACTCTTATTTCACCCATTCACCCAATTAATGGTTCAAACTTTCTTTTTATACTCTACGCAAAAGGGAAGTTTTAATCGGATCCGCGTTCTCCCACAACAAATCCGCGCTCCCACTGAAATCAATTCTCGAATTGTATACGACTTGCCAGAAATTCGCGTTTTGGCGGATTGGAGCGTGAACGTGGGCTTGGAACCCACGAATTGGGTATCCTAAGTCCGGCCGAACAGATGTGCGTGGCTGAAACCTATTCTGTTTTTGTGGGCCGCAACAATCACTGGCCCCGTTTAAGTCCGCGCGTGTACGGTAAGTTGGCTTGTTCCACAGTGAAAAGAGGAAAATATTAGTACTACCTATTCTACCATTACTACAAACGCTCATGGAGCAGCAAATTTGAAATGGGGGAAGGGTTTTTCCTTGATGCTATTATATTATGTGATAGATAAGATAGATAGAAATTTAAATTAAGTATTAACATACAACTAAAATAATCAAAATATGAAAATCAAAGTATCAAAACCAAATAAGTACTTACGAGAAATTCAGTGAACAACTAATCGTTGAAAAAGTCTTCAGAATTAAGGTTCCTGTATGTTTTTAATTTAAAAAGATACAAAAAATATATTTAGTGTGATTGGTTATGATCCTTGGTTTTCTTTAAAGTGACCATGGTTCAAATCTTAGCACATGTCTTTTTTATGAATAAATAAATAATAAATAAGCAATCGTGAAGACCAAAATGTCCTTCCTACATTCACTCTCGTTGCAAGAAATTTGAAATGCAACAACAATTTTTCTCTTTGTGCTATTGTATTATGTGTAGATTGGAAATTCATTCACAAACCCCATGTAAAGATACTACAAACAAGGGAACTAGCCTGCATTAGCCTACAAATCAAAGCAAAGCCCAAAACCAAAACCAACTCCCAAAAGGCAAAAGGAGCTGCCGCACCGAAAGTGGCCCACTCCATCCATCCTTCGGAGACAGAGAGACCGCCGGCAAGGAAAGCACGATGGAGCCTTTTCAACATCACCAAAGACATCGGACACGAGACCCTCGTTCCATTATTATAGCTAATTCCTATCCGTAATTTCTACTATTCAATTAATGGTCACCATGCAAATAGCGGCAGATCCAAAACATAGTAGAGCACTGGGCCGCAGTTCATTAAGAAATCAGATCTCGTAAAAAAATCGTAGTCTTTTAACAATATCAATTGTAAACGTCGATATTTTGATATAGCTAATTCATCAATAATGGAGTCTACATCCATACCAAAAGCATACTCTCTTTCAAAATAAATAGTTAACCAATCGACGAGAAATTCATCGCTCATTTTGTTGCGCAAATAGTTTTTCACATGTTTAATTGTTGAAAAAGTTCTCTTCATAGTTGCTGTTGAAACAGGTAATGTCAACACTAGACAAATAATCGACTAATCAATTTGTATTGTGTGTCCATCCCTATTTCCACCAGCAGTTTTTGTAATTTTTAAAGGGAACAAACCTCATATATTTTTAGTCTTTTACGTTTTAGACTTTTAGGTTTCATTGTTTGTTTTTCTTTAGACGAGAATCATTGGAGCTAGAATTTCTAGGCTAAATTTAGAATTGTGATTTGAATATGTTTATACGACCAATTTTCCTAATTACACACAATCTTATTTAAAATAACACTGGGCCGAATGGCTAAAATCGATAAACTCATATGGGTTATATTAACTTCAGATCCAGAGGAGGGCTGGGTCATGGCCCGAGGTTGCTACCCCTAGATCCGCCACTGCATGCAAGGTAGTAAATCCACGACGACCATCCGATGATGACCAATGTTTTCAAAATCATATCTATTGGGGTCCGTCATATTGGAAAGTAGTTCATTGTGGAATAAATTGGTTGGCGATTTTAATGTTTTAAAATGATTGAATTACGGTTATATCATGATTTCACCATAAAATATCCTACCAACAACTTTTCTGATACAATCTCCAATAGGATTTTACAATCCTTCATTGTCTAATTCTATATGCTCAGATAGGTGCTCGATGGTTTGTTGACCATAATTCATGAACCCGGTTATCATGGGGAACATATTTATAATATCAATGAATAATTTTCTTTCTCCCTCCTGCTTATACTAAAACTTTCCAAGGCCCTCCTCACAGGATTCAAGTTGAGGTCCAAAACTTTAGGGATTTTTCCAATATAGCATCTATTAAAAAA